TCCCATGCAACACAGTTATAAAATCAAACTCAAAGTAAAAATATTTCAAAATTAACATATAAAGGCAAATTCAAAAATCTAGTTGCTTATAATATTGTTTTTAAACTGAATGAACAAAGGACACATTTCATCTGCAGTACAACAAATTCCCTTTCCTACGTGATCTTAACTGACTGAGACTCGAACCCTGGACTGAACTACAGGCTCCTGCTTGACTTGGATGTAAAGATTGTTAAAATGTTTTTCCTTAACAAACATCAACTGTGAATTTGATTCAGCCTATTTTGAAAAGTAAAGTTTGATGATTATGTGTTTGTCATCAGCAGTGACTGCAGCTCTGTTTGTCAGTGTCAGGTCATTTACCAGCAGGAAGCCTGAAGGCGTTGCAGTGAATCTCAGCACAAGTAGTTTTTACTTTCCCCTCATTCCTACTGAGTTGATAGAGATAGATACCTCACATGATTAATAACCTGAGGTCAAATAATATACCGAAGGCATCTGTGTATCTTTGATGTGTGGCTGAGACTTAACGTTACATTTCATAGGAAAAAAATAGAACTAAATAACAGTTTCATTTAAATCATTCACAAGAAAAGACAAACTGTAGTGAAGTCTAAAAAGACAATGAGACACTGACAGTTGATGCAATAACAAAACAATAAAGTTATCTGTATATGAATAAAGGTGGCTTTGAAAATGATCACATGTCTATTGTTGTTGTAGTTGTTGCATTACTGTAAATGTAGGGATCTTTTCAAAATTAAAACATCATAGTGTTTACAGCAGATATAATTTCTAGTCATGTTTCACTCAAATAAATAAAACTTTGCACTAACACTCACCGGACCCTTCTATTGGCTCCAGATAGACCAACACTACTTCTTCCTATCCTTGATTCTATGCAAACTCAGTGACCTTCCTTGTTATTCATCTATAAAACCTTCTCATCAGACTGTTGGTGGAGTTCACAGCACATCAGATTCACCATAAACCATGTTCTCTGTAGCTCTGCTGCTGCTGTTGGTAGCTGGATCCTGTGAGTTTCTCTGTCTGGACTTGTAGTCAATAGTTCTTCTTTTACAGGATAACTTGATAATTTGTCACCAAACATTTTCTTCTTTTAGCAGGTGTGAAGTGTGAACAGCTGACACAGCCAGCCTCTGTGACTGTGCAGCCAGGTCAACGTCTGACCATCACCTGTCAGGTCTCTTATTCTGTGGGCAGCTACTACACAGCCTGGATCAGACAACCTGCAGGGAAAGGACTGGAGTGGATTGGAAGCAGACGACATGGAGGGGACACATACTACAAAGATTCACTGAAGAACAAGTTCAGTATCGACTTAGACTCTCCCAGCAACACAGTGACTCTAAATGGACAGAATGTGCAGCCTGAAGACACTGCTGTGTATTATTGTGCCAGAGACCCACAGTAACACAAACCATCATTAGACCTGAACAAAAACCTTCAGAGCCTGAACACTAACATGAAGCCACCAGAGGAGGAGCCCTCAGACCACTGATGATTTCAGACTAGTTCAATGAGAAAAAGGATTCACATCTAGTTCACAGCACTGAAAATGTTGAACTAGTATAAACTACTCTTTGTTTGTCTTGTTTGTTGCTAAATTCCAAACATACCCAATCAGTGAGTGTTAGGAGAATTACATTATTAAATATGTTTTAAACTGTGTTTTAATCAATATATTAATCGCTATATGCTATTCAATGGATTTTAAACTTTCAGAAGAGAGACCTGTGAGAAACTGCTTGTGTGAACTGAAGGACATGTTCTATCTTTGTTTTAGTACTCTGTGCGTTGTTATATGTTCAACCAAATGGCGTTCCAGACTTAAAGGAGCCAGCCATAAACTGTGCCTGCCATATACTGTGAAGATAAACAGGTGCCAAAGCTTGTTTAGTGTCTAAGGTGTTATTGGGGCAACCCCCTTCAACTTTCGTTTTGCTACTTAAAACCTACTTTACAACTTGATTAATGCCTGGGTTGCGTCTTTAGGGAGTTCTCTTTCTCCTATATATTGTGATGTTTAGACTAAGCCCATTCAGACAACTCTGTATGCTCATGCTGACTTGTCTCCTTGCTGCAAGTAAAGATTACTGCTATTACCATTCCAGTGACTTTGTTGCTCTGTTTGGAAAATTCTTTTGACAGTGAGGAAGCTGTTACATTACTCAGTTTGCATCTTAAAATAGCACAAATGTTATATGAATTTTCAATTGTTAATAGATTTACATTTAGTAAACTATTATCTGTAATGAAGTAAAATAAAATGACCACACAACACTTTTATTTATTTTATTTTATTATTTTATTTAATGGTGGATATATTTGCAAAATGTTCTTAATTAATTCAACATAATCTTTGGATTTACATAAAGTCCTTAGCTCACTAAAATGGGTCTTGGAGACTGGCCTGCTCTGTTTTGCTTAGAATATATGTAAATTGAACAGTTTAAAAACAATGAAATGTTTCTAAATACTGTATGTGACGTTATTTACATCAGCAGCATTAACATTTTAAGAGAATCCACACTCTTCAGTTTTAACCTCTTGGTGATATTAATCACTGAAACTATGAGTTAATGTGTCTTCTTCATGATCAAGTCCACTAGCGCTTTCTCTTTGGAAAAACAATCTTCACTTTGCTTTTTTTGTTGTATGTGGTTGTACACACAGCAACAAAATCCTGCTCCAATACAGGAGCGGTTTACATTGGCAGATGGCATTTCATCATCCACTTGTGTAGGAGTTCAAGGATTTACAACCAGATTTAGTTTTGCTAAGGCACATCAATCAATATGATTCAATTAAACTAGATCACTCTGCACACGAGCCACTCCCCCTCCATGACACCCTGATGCAAATCTTCAGTCTGTGTAGTACTTCTGTACTTCTGTCTTGCTGAGTGGTCTTGTACTTTGTGTGGAGCATCAGACATCACATCTCGGGATGATGAACAGATTAACTCTTCTGCTTGTTGCTCTCTCTCTGCCCTGTGAGTTCTCCTGCTTCTTAACATCTTATCAAACACTATTCATCCTCAGTGATATCACAGAGCTTGCTAGATGACATTTTTCTTGGTTTATTCCTCCCCTTTCGTCTCCTCAGGTTGTACAGGTCAGAGTATGGAGTCTATTCCTCCCAGTTCAGTAGTGAAAAGGCCTGGGGAGACTCTCAGTCTCTCCTGCAGGGGATCTGGCTTCACATTTAACTGTTGTGTTATGTCATGGATAAGACAACCTGCAGGAAAAGGACTGGAATAGATTGGGAATGGCTACTAGAAACACTTATGCAAGCAGTGTGAGAGGACGTGTAGAAACCAGCAGAGATGACAGCAGCAGCATGGTGTACCTGAGACTGTCCAACTTAAAGGAATGGAGAGTATTACTGTTCCAGACACCCACAGTAACACAAACCATCAGTCAACCTGCCTTCAGAGCCTGAACACTAACATGAAGCCACCAGAGGAGGAGCCCTCAGACCACTGATGATTTCAAAAGCTGTTTGTATGTTATTTACAGCAGAGACACTTCTGCTGGAAGACTGATTATAAAAGGACAGAATGTGTCAGTCTGTAGTGATACAAACCACCATCAGACCTTCACAATACCCACAAAAACATGACATATATTTTTAATAATAAATATTTGTGTTGTAAAGAGTCATTTATATTATGTTCCAGTATTTTGCATTGCAGCACACAAACAGGTTGATTTTAGTTTATTTCTCATTTATGTAGTCAGGTTATATAGGGTTTGGATAGGGCACAACACATC